GGTTACACCAGATGACAGCAGGCTTAGTAAATCTTCATAAGGCCGAATTCAATCCGTTAACCATCCGGAATCCACCCGAGGCCCCCGGGACCCCGTCTAATCACATCAACCAGTTCCAAAACACATTACGAACTTAGTCGAGCCTTCAACTCACAACAACCAATGCTAAAACCATGAATCGCACTCCAATTCAAGCTTAATGAACTTTTGAACTTCAAACTTCCACATTCGATGCCGAAACCTATCAAATCACGTCCGATTGACCTTAAATTTTGCACACAAGTCATATTTGACATTACGGTCCTACTCCAACTTCCGGAATCGGAATCTGACCCCGATATCAAAAAGTCCACTTCCGGTCAAACTTCCCAAAATCTTCAAATTTCTAACTTTCGCCAAATGACTCTAGAATGACCTACAGACCTCCAAATCCACTTCCGGACGCGCTCCCGATACCAGAATCACCATACAGAACTATTCTCAGACTCAGTATCCCAAACGGATATCGATAACATTGAAATGCATTTCAACCCAAATTTATGAAATACTTCTAAAGATGCTATCTTCCACAATAGGCGCCGAAACGCTCCCAGGTCACCCAAAACCCGACTTTGACATACGCCCAAGTCCTAAATCATCATACGAACCTGTTGGAACCTTAAAATCCCGATTCCGAGGTCGTTTACTCAAAAATCCAATCTTTGTCAATTCTTCCAACTTAAGGCTTTCGAAATGAGGATTTTCTTTCCAATATCAACTCCGATCTCCCCGACATTCAATTCCGACCACGCGTACCAGTCATAATACCTGAAATGAAGGTGCTCATGGCCTCAAACAGCCGGACGACGCGCTAGAGCTCAAAATGACCGGTCGGTTCGTTACATTCTCTCCCACAGAAGTTTCAATATATCAACCAAGTAACATTTAATAGATCACACTCCATTAGACAATTTCGTTCTCTAAGCAATGTTGCTTCTTTGCAAGTTATTGAATCCAAACCCATAACATTATGAACTTTAGATATCATCTGTTAATTAACTGAACCTTTTAATATGTACTGAAACAGTGTTATCCCCCATATATACTATGTTCTAAGTGCTCCAGATATGCTTTAATCTTTACCACAATTAGTCGGAGTAGTCGAGGCTTATTTCTGGAGAAAGCTTCTTCTCCTTTGAGATACCGCATATGGAACCAAGCAAAAAGCGTTGTTCAAGTCAACTCATTCGTTATTATAATTGCTCACCCCATTAGAGATAAGCTTTGTATATTCTTCAGACATTTCTTCTCTTGGTGTTCCTAAATAATCAGTGTTGAGGTCCACACATGCTCAGCAGTGGCACAACACATAGCAGACACTGGTTGGTTTTGCTCTTGTTTGACCAGAAACATTGCCTATGATGACCTTCTTGTTGATAAATGAAACAGGAGAAATATTCCAACTTATCCAAATCTCTATTATTTAAAAAATTATGATCCTAACTTGACCATTTTATAGGTATAGTGGAAGTCTTCAACTGCAGCACCACTTGGAACCATAAGTATTCAGTTTTTTGTCATAAGAACCAACTCGTATCCTGAGTCATCGCTTTATCACTATAGACGATCAGATTTTGTCTAAAATTCTCCGGATATGCCCCCTCATAGATTCAGATTTCATGATCAGCCATTGGAATAGTGACCACAACTTGTTGATTAAACATCAAGAAATGGCTCCAGGTGGTCCCTAAGTATACCATTTTCAAGAATATGAGGTTTCCATCTGTCTGTTGTTGTGAAAATCAGTGGAACCTTCTGCTTTTAGACGATTCTCAATGTATAATAATAGTATGACAATGAGTTGGAAGGCAAAACCATGTGATACTTCAGGTGCTATTGTTTTTATGCCCACGCATAATGCCTATTCAATGCGAATTACTAGGATTCTACAACTTGTCATTGCCCTATCTATATAAACACATACAAAAAAGAGTTCGCCATAACAGCTCTCAGAAAAACTGAAACCACACAAAGCTTTTCTCTGATCTCAAGATCCTTACTAAGTATTATCTTTCCTTATTTTCTCATCTGTATTGAGCTAAGCAACAATGGCTATTCGTATGCCTAGTATAATCAAGAAGTCTTCTACAACTGGAGATGTTCCAAAGGGACATTTTGTTGTTTATGTTGGGGAGAAACAAAAGGAGAGATTTGTGATCCCATTATCATTCTTGAGTCAACCGGCATTTCAAGACTTGCTTAGCCAAGCTGAGGAAGAATTTGGCTTTGATCATCCAATGGGTGGTCTCACAATTCCCTGTAGCGAGGATGTGTTCGTTGATCTTACTTCTCGCTTGTGTAGGATCTGAGGCTTTTGCTTTCACAGTTTTGTAAAGAACTAACCTGGACTTCCAGTTTGTACATTAGAAGATTTAGGAAAAGACACCATTTATACGATATCACTGAAAATTAGATAGAGGGGGCTACTGTTAGCTGCAACAGTAGATCCCAATTGAATGAAATTTTGTAAAGATTTAAGCATCATATTCTTTAGCAAATGAAGTCTGTTCAGATCCATCCTTTAGCCAATTGGTTTTTCAATGTTCTTGTTGGAGAAATTTCTTAATTACATGACTCCATTTATTCATAACATGAAAATTGGAGCTTCTGAAAAGACACCTTATTTGTGAGTCTGTGACCTTATCCTGAACACTGAAATATTTTGGGCAATGGCAACAAAGAGAAATTTGTATCTGCAATAGAAATTTCATAACATCAATGAAGTAACAGTATTAGATCACACTCCATCAGACATTTTCCTTCTCCACTCTTCTTAAAACAAATATTTGGCTTGGTTTACTATAATTCTGATCTGAAAAGTTTTAATCGTCAGATTAAATGACTTATGATATGAGAAACAGGAATTGTATTTACTCAAGTCAACTTATTTCTAAAAGCATGGATTAGCACAACTGTATTTACTCTACGGTTCCTTAAAATTATGGCTATCTAGAAGTAACTAATGTTGCTTGTTGCAAGTTATTGAATCCAAACCCATAACTATATGTGTTTTAAATACTTCAACACAATATATTTTTGGCATATATGTTTTTCCTCCAAAGTAAAGGGCAGCCCGGTGCACTAAGCTCGCGCTATGCGCGGGGTTCGGGAAGGGCCGGACCACAAGGGTCTATTGTATGCGACCTTACCCTGCATTTCTACAAGTGGCTGTTTCCACGGCTTTTTCCTCCAAAGTATATCTCATAATAGAATTTTTGGTATATCCAATCAACTAAGAATTGTGATATTTTTAATAGATGTTATGAGAGTAGCCAAATGTTCTGGATTAGGTTCAGGACAAAGCTAGGAAGCAAGTGAAACATCCCACTTCCCTTTGTCCTATTGGTATGTTGTTATGGATATTCCATCTTGTCAATGACAAGAAATGTGTAAGTGTATATTTGGAAGTGAATAATCACAACTAGGTTACATCTCTTATTTGGAAATTAGATTGTGATGAATGCTATGTTCCAACTTCAGACAAAAGGTAGGGCCTGATGTCTTGATCTTATATGGACTAAAGATATGAAAACCATGTTACTTCAGATGCTATTGTTTTGAAGTATTCCACATCTGGAGATGTTCCCAAGGGATATTTTGTTGTATATATTGGGGAAGAGCNAACATGTTCACAAGTTCAATGCATTTCTGATTGTTAAGTCATAGCCGGAAAAATATGGTTAATCAAATTTACAAAGATGAGTCTTTATTCAAGTAACTATCCTTCATCTGGAGTAATGTTTAGCCCACCAGATCAATGTACAAGCTCGAACATTGGTCTTCGTTGTTCTTATTTGACAAAACATCAGAACTTTCTGTCATGATATAGGATTAGTATTTCGTATGCAGGACGTATCAGATATGGTTCCTTTGATTCAAGTTCAGATGTTTATAGTTAATCCAATTCTCATAGATAGAGAGCTTAAAGAATCATTTTTTACTTTAGAATCTCAAGGCAAACTGCAACACAAGTTAACAGTGCCCGCACTCCAAGCTGTCAGCATTAATTTGTCTAGCATTTTTGAGACCTCCACTCATAAATTTTATCCAAGAGTTTAGATTAGCCACATTTATTGGATTAAGTTCAGGGCCATGTTTGGAAGCACCTGCAGGAACATCCCACTTCCTTTTGTTCTTTTGGTATGTGGTGATGAATAAATCCATATTTTTTGAAAACTAAATGCTTACTAGAACATACTAAGTTAAAGGTACGGCCTATTGTCTTGAACCAATGTGACTGAGAGTCATCAATACTTTGGCAATGACTTGAAAGACAAAACCATGTTACTTCAGTTGCTATTGTCTTCAGTTGGTACCCACAGAATTAACTCTTCACCAATGATTAACAGGATTCTCTTAGTTGCCATTGTCCTATATAAACACTTTCAAGAAGGTGTCTACCACCACAACTCTCAGCAAAACTTAAACGTAGTCAAAACTTTCTCTGCTTTTGAGGTCTTTAGTAGTTCAATTTTTTCTTCCTTAGTCTATACTAAAGCCAAAATAATCATGGCTATTCGCATGCCTCGTATAATCAAGAAGTCTTCCACAAATGGAGACGTTCCAAAAGGTCACTTTGCTGTGTACATCGGGGAGAAGCAGAAGAAGAGATTTGTGATCCCTATATCATTCTTGAGTCAACCGGAATTTCAATATTTGCTTAGTCAAGCTGAGGAAGAATTTGGCTTCGATCATCCAATGGGTGGTCTCACAATTCCCTGCAGTGAGGACGTCTTCATCGACCTTACTTCTCGTTTGAGGAACTGGCAAGGAAATTAGTCCCCTTTTTTTTGCTTACACAATTTTGTAAAGTTAGAAAGCAGGATCTCCACTGTGTACAGTTCAGGAGTTAGAAGAAACGCTAGGTAGATTTAATGAGTTTAGCTACATAAAGAATGGATGTCATTCTTTTGTCTCTTGACTAANCTAAATGTCAATTAGTTGGACGACAGGACCATGTGGTTATGAGATTTTACCACTGATGTCCAACCCAAATGGCTCTTCACCACAAGTCATGAGATTTTACGACTTTCCATTTGCTTATATAAACATGTTTTGAGAAGTTCCACACCATCACAGCTATCCACAAAACTAGAGAACTACTCGAAATTTCTCTTCATCCTTTACTCATCTTAAATAAAAGATCATGGCTATCCGTATGCCTCGTATTATCAAGAAGTCTTCTACAACTGGAGATGTTCCCAAGGGATATTTTGCTGTTTATGTTGGGGAGAAGCAGAAGAAGAGATTTGTGATTCCCATATCATTCCTAAGTCAACCGACATTTCAAGATTTGCTTGGTCAAGCTGAGGAAGAATTTGGCTTCGATCATCCAATGGGCGGTGTCACAATTCCCTGCTCAGATGACATCTTCATTGGCATCACTTCTCAGTTTAGGATATAAGAATATAATTGAGAATCATCTTTCCGTTTATAGGTCTCACAATTTTGTATACGAAAGCAGGAGATCTTTTTTGTACAGTTGATTAGTTATTAGAAGTTAAGTGATGAGGCTTAGCACCAAAACAATTGGTGCTTTTTAACTCAAAAAGACTCTAATTCAAAGAGTAGAGACACAACATTAATTGTTTTCTCTTGCTACAAATTTATCCGAAAGAGATTTTTCTTAAATGGATGAACAATTTAGCTTATATACTTGGCCAAGATATAACTTGAATTATTGTTGACGGATTTTACCCAAAAAAAAATAAAAATGTCGTACTGAACTCATACTATTAATCCAAAATCTTTAAAGCATGAGTAGCTCAAAATCTTTACATATACTAATGCATTATATCCATATGGGAAGATTTGTTTATTCGTTTGTTTTTACCTGTAAAACAGTACAGTTGAATTTATACATGGTTTCCAGACAAGTGAACTAATTTGATCCGGAAATAATGCAATAATTGAAGAAATGTACAATACTTAGCCTTAAAATGTAGATGAAACAACAGAAATGACAGTTCCGGGAACAAGGTTTCCAGGCACAGCAATGATGAGATCAAAAAGCAGAAAAGTAAGATTGCATTAAGCTTTGTATAGAATGTAGTGTAAGTTTTGCCAGAAAATTCATGTCCTTTACAATGATAACTGGGCTCACTATTTATAGTTGTATCTATGGAAGGAGGTCCTAAGATCGTGCTCTCCTTTAATGTCAATTATGAAGGTAATTGATGAAGATGTAATGGTGAATATAAATGATAAATTCTCTGTAACGGGTCGTCGCTCTTAATGTTGTAGAATATTCCTTAATAAATGCTACCGGGCGCAGAGCATTTAATACACATTTATGAACGTTATCCCTTCCGGTGACAAGCAAAATGGCTGCGTTCGGTCTTCGGCCATCCCCGTCTAGGGTTCCACGTGTCTTTCCTTTAGATGACCGCGTGTCATATTATATTTCACCCTATACAGATAGTCCCCCTGCTTTCCGGTGACATAACTTTGTGTTACCGGGAAGTTGGTAGAAATACTCTTTTGGCGGGAATTACTATAACTCCCTCTGAAGGCTTCTGATGGTTGATTAGATGTACGTCTCTCCGCATTTAACGCCCCGAACATGCGTCATCCCACGATTCAGCACAACTTTTGCCGATTACCGAGGTAATCATGGCCATGAATTTAGCCGCCAAAATTTTACTTATACACATCAATCTTTTCCTTTGCACTTCATAATTTCTCGAACTTCTGATTTGCATCTTTGTTCTCCATCCTTTCTCTAATTCTATTCAAACAAAACCTTTTCCTTTTTCTTATTTAATGGCTTCTTCCTCCAAGCATGCCGGTTCTTCAAAGAACAAGAACAAAGCCGATGACTCTGCTCCTCCAACGGTGGGTTCCATTATTCCCAAGGAGACTCAGTACAAAGGACTTAGAAGAGAAATTTCCTACTGCTAACCCTCGTACATGGGCTGTTAGTAGGTAGCCTTCTTCCATTCGTCCTTCCAGTATTCCTGTTGTGAAGGAAGACTGCCGCTGCCATGAGTTGGATATCATTGCTCCTGATCTATCGAAGCGAGTGACCCTTCCCAAGGAAGGTTTTACATACTTTTACACGTATCCCTTTACTTTGGGTACATTTTCTTTGAGTGGAGAGTTTGATTCCGTGATTGCGGAGTTTTGCCTTCACTACCAGGTGTGTTTGGCACAGGTAAGTCCTTCAGTGTGGAGGACGGTCGCCTGCCTTCGGCGCTTGTGCCAGGAGACTATAGAGGAGCTAACCTTAGCTCATATGATGAATCTCTATTCTCCCAAAATCTTCCGCGGAGGAACGATAAACCTAAAAGCGTGGCCACTGTGCTTTGTTGTCTAGCATGGATGATGACAACGACCGTGGGTGGATGGAATGGCTCGTTGGAATCGCCACTAACGACATCATTCCGACAATGGCTTCATCCTTTCCGGCCGCTTGGAACCGCACTCGTAAGCTCTTTGTTTAGTATTTCCTTTTACTAAATATTTTTCTATAGCAGTATTGATCCTCCATCCTTCATTTGTTTCAGCAACTCGATGGATCCCACCAGTGGTGGAAGGCTTGGACCGGTGGGTTCAAAAGATCTTGGACATCACGATACCCGAAACTCGTTTGTGGAAAGAACCGGCCCTTAAATATGGGTGGAAGGCCAAAAATCATGGTAATTTTAACTTACCTTGCTTCCATTCTTTTTGTATATGGAGAACTTGGTCAAACCCTTTTGACTTGTTCACAAAATTAGGTCTACCCGTGGGCTTTGTTGTTGTCCCCGATAAGGACGTTTTGGTTGATCCTGCTGATGCAGCGAGGCTACTTCAGGAGGCACTTACTCGAACAGGTATCTCCGGGCCTGTTTCGGGCGCAAACACTTCTTTACGTAGTCCCCGTCCGGAGGATAAACAACCAAAGATAAGACGTTCCTCCATGGCCGGGGAAAAGAATAAGAGGGAAAAGACTGATGCCCCCGAGTCGTCTCCGGTGGCGATGGTGACTGGTCCTCCTTCCGGGCCAGTCATAGACACCGTCATGATTGATGATGATGAAGAAGCTAGTGATGAGGGAGCTTCTCTACATAAAAGACAACAATCCTCATCATCTCAACATGATGCTCGACCTGTTGAGAGAGTTACACCAACCGAGGACGATGCCTCGGCATTTTGGGGAGAGTTTGATTTGGTAGATAATGTCAACTCCCGTTTTCAGGCCCCAATTGTTGTGCCCGGTACTGCGGGGCTGAGTACCGGGTCCTTGCCATCTTTGGTTGGCGAGCATCCAACAACTAGCAACTGCATTTGAAGTCTTCGTAGTATATTTTCTATCACTGCCTCATTAAAAACCTTGCCAGAAAAACCTAATTGGGACAAAAACTGAACGAAGGGAAAAAGAGTGCAGCACATACTTTCCACTTGAATAATGTTCATCAACAATAATATCTTTTGAGGTGTGCCATGCTCCAGTTTCTAGGCAACTTGTCTCCATTCTGGTTCTCCAGCTCGTATGAACCTTTCCCAGTGATAACTGAAATTTGGTAGGGACCTTCCCACGTTGGACCTAGCTTCCCCGTGTTGAGCTCTGGGGTATTTTGGGTTACTTTTCTCAGAACCAAATCTCCTAATTTGAAATAACGGAGGTTGGCTCTTCGATTATAATAGCGCTCCATTCTCTACTTTTGAGCTGCCATTCTTACACGCGCCAAGTCCCTGCGTTCCAGGAGCAGTTCCAAGCTGATTATCATTGCTTCGTTATTCGATTCTTCATCTGCCCGGAAATATCTCAAAGTGGGTTCACCCACTTCCACCAGGATTAAGGCTTCAGCACCGTAGACAAGGGAAAAAGGAGTTTCTCATGTGCTTGATTTGGCCGTTGCTATGTAGGCCCATAGTACTCCGGGCAATTCTTCGGTCCATTAGCCTTTTACTACTTCCAACCTTTTCTTGAGGTTTTGAATAATCACTTTGTTTGTTGACTCTGCTTGACCGTTTGCGCTCGGATGATAAAGAGAAGATGTGATCCTTTTTATCTTCAAATCTTCGAGGAACTTTGTAAACTTTGCACCGATAAATTGTGGCACATTGTCGCATATTATCTCTTTTGGTATTCTGAACCTGCAAATTATATTTTTCCACAGGAAATCGACCACTTCACGTTCTCCGATCTTCTGATAAGGACCTGCTTCCACCTATTTAGAAAAATAGTCAGTCAGAATTAAAAGAAACATTACCTTTCCGGGAGCCGGTGGCAGCGGTCCGACGATGTCCATTCCCTATTTTATGAACGACCATGGGGATAGAACCGAATGTAAGGGTTCTGCCGTTGGTGTACTAGTGGTGCATAGTGTTGGCACTTATCACATTTTCGTAAGAAGTTTTTGGCATCTTGTTCCATGCGAGGCCAGTAATATTCTGCCCCGTACCAACTTCAGCACCAAAGAATCTGTGCCTCAGTGATTGCCGCATATCCCTTCGTGGACTTCTCTCATGAACATAATTAGATTCTGACACTCCTTGGAAGGATTTTCTATACAATTGGCCTCTCTTGAAGCTATAACGTGCAGCTTTGGCGCGTAACGCCCGTGATGCTTTGGGGTCTTCGGGCAACTTCTCGTACTCGAGATAGTCGATTATTTCATTTCTCCAGTCCCAGACCAAACAAGTCAAATTTACCTCATAGTAACCATCCGTATCCAGGACTGAGTTCATTAATTGCACTACCATCCCGGACTCGGATCCCTTTATTTCCGTCGATGATCCTAAGTTTGCTAATGCATCCGCTTATGCGTTATCCTCCCTCGGGATATGAGTAATTGACCACTCCCGGAATCATGCCAAAAGAGCATAGACCTTTACCACGTATTGTTGCATACGTTCTTCTTTGGTATCGAAGATCCAGTAGACGTGATTTACCACCAGTTGCGAGTCATATTTGATTTCGATAACCTCGGAATCAAGTACCCGGGCTAATTCGAGCCCTGCAATCAAAGCTTCGTACTCTGCTTTATTGTTAGTTAAAGGGATCGTTCTGATGGATTGCCTTAAGGATTCCCCCGAAGGCGTGATTAAGACTATTCCGAGTCCGGACCCTTTTACGTTGGAAGCTCCGTCCGTAAATAAGGTCCAAACCTCGGATGTCGATTCCGACACCATTACTACTTCCTTGGTTGCCAGAGGCAGTAGTCCCGGACTGAAATCGGCCACGAAGTCAGCCAAGACTTGCGACTTAATTATAGTCCTTGGTTTATATTCTATGTCGAACTCACTCATTCGACGACCCATTTGGCCAATCTACCCGAGAGCTTGGGTTTATGGAGGATGTTTCGCAAAGGGAAAGTAGTCACCATAGCTATCAGGTGGAATTGGAAGTAGGGCCTCAGCTTCCGAGCGGCGACTACGAGAGCTAAGGCCAGTTTTTCCAAATGTGGGTAGCAAGTTTCTGCTCCTGCTAAAATTTTTCTAACGTAATAAATGAGAAATTGCGTACCTTCGTCCTCCCGAACTAAAACCGTACTTACCGCAACTTCTAAAACCGCGAGGTAGACTAGCAATGTTTTACCTTCTTTTGATTTGAGAGCAATTGAGGGCTTGATAAGTATTTTTTCAGGTCCCTCAGATCCTGTTGTCACTCAGGTGTCCATTCGAGATTATTTTTCTTTTTGAGCAGTGTGAAGAAGCGATGACATTTTTCCGACGACCGAG